CCCTCTCCTCCCCCCCCAAGTCTTTAAGTATAGGCTGTGCCTAGTAGCTTTTTTTTCCCCCCAAAGAGGACCATGTTGAAGGGCAGGAGGTGAGAACACCTGACCATCACCACCTCAGCCAGTTCACCAGACAAAACCCACGGAGAAAAGTCCTAATGAGGCATGTGGCCTTCATGTGATGAAAACAGCAGGTTAGCTTGGCGGCATTTCTTCCCCAAACCCACCATCCCAGCCTAATCATAAGGAAAACATAAGGGGAATTCTAAGAATACTTCACCAGCACATCCCAAACTGCCAGGTAATAAAACACAAGAAAAGTCCGAGCAGCAGCCACCACATACACACGTCTAAACCTCTCTCTGCATGCGTACCGATGTCTTTTACAACCTTTCTTTTTGCCAAGTTCAGACAGGTGTACATTAAACTTACACATTTGTGATTAACAGCTTCCATGTGGTCTGACCTTTGAAAGGTCCACAGAGAACTTAGTAAAAGAGTAGACTTCCTTCACTTGATATTTCATAAAATATTAATACATTTCTCTCCTTCACAATAATATCATGAGATCCAATGACGGGAATGATGCATGTGGTTTTAACAGATGAAAAGCTGTTCTTATCAGGGACACATGACACCATCCAAATGTGGAGGCTGTTTTAATAGTACTGAGTTACATGAATTGCACTTAGGCGCACTTAAAATACTGAGTATTCAGCCTTGAAAAGCTCTTTTGATTTTTATAATAAATTACTATGACATTATGCAGATTGGTATACACATATTTGGTGGCATAGCACTCGTTCAGGAACAGTATTCCTGGCAAACTTAGACAAGTAAACGGGTAAAGTGAAGATAAGGAAGCTTGGGGGTCACTTGCTGGAATGTGGGGGTGCTGTGGACTGAATGGCTGTGTCCCCCCAAATTCATAGCTGCTGCTCTGATCCCCAATGTGCTGGTGTCGGGAGACAAGGCCTTTGGGAGGTGACTGTGGTGAGATCAGGTCATGACAATGGCCCTCGCGATGGGATGGACGTCTGTAAAAACAGGAGGAGACCCCAGGCCCTCTCACCACCTGAGGGGCAGCGAGGGGGGCCAGGAAGAGGGGCCCCACAGGCCCCGGGCCCTGCTGGCACCTGACCTGGGACTTAGCTGTGAGAAATAAACTGTTGGTTAAGCCACGCAGTCCATGGTGTTTGTTACGGCAGCGCGAGCTAAGGCACCGAGTCTTATTTACGGGACAGACACTCAAGAACGGCAACGGCCAAGGGTGCATGGGTTTCTATGAGCAACAGCATCTTCACAGGAGAACCAGCGTCTACACAGCGAACACCCATCACAAGGGAGGACGCAGGGGGAGGGTCAGGAGGACGAACGGGCAGCGGAGCCCACCTCAGGGACCCGCTCTGTCGACTTTGCTCCACTCAGCACCCGGGTCAGGTTCACCCCCCTCCCCCCCCATGGAGTGTGCAGGCTCCACGGCCTCAGAACTTATCACATTGCTGTTTCGAAAGGCAAACAGTCCTGATAGGGTCACAATTAAGCAGCTATTTCTTGCATATGGAGCGTGAAGGAACTGGAAATAAATTTCAATAATTTCAGGGGGAGAAAAATGTACTGACAGCACTTCTCTCAGGAAGACAAAATTTACACAAAATGCGTTCAATTCACCAAATGGTAAACGTGGAGCACGGAGAACGCTCTTACTCTAGAGCAGTGGTTCCCCACCTTCTGGCCCTTTAAATGCAGTTCCTCACGTGGTGACCCAACCATAAAATTATGTTCTTTGCTACTTCATAACTGTCATGTTGCTACTGTTATGAATCGTAATGTAAATATCTGATATGCAGGATGGTCTTAGGCGACCCCTGTGAAAGGGTCGTTCGACCGCCAAAGGGGTCGCGACCCACAGGTTGAGAACCGCTGGTCTAGAGTCTGTGTGAGTCCAACGCAGCATCACACACCTGCTGCCACGTTGGGCAAACAGATCCTCCTCAGCCATTTAGTGGCTGAGAGTAAACCCATCCCCACGGCTTAGATGTTCCAAAAGGAAAGGAGCTTTTCCGAGATTACAAGGAGAAGGAAGAGTCTGCAAGCAGATCTTTAATGCGATTTCTCCACATGTATATTATGAATGTAGGACAGAGTACAGAACATGTCTTCCTAGAAATGTCAGATTTATCAAACTATCATCTATCTATGTATTTCTGTACCTATGTATCCATCCATACAATCACCTATTTTTCTATTATCTATCTTCTATCTATATCTATCATCTACATCTATCTATCATCTATCATCTCTATCATCTATCTCTATCATCTATCTATCATCTATCATCTATCTCTATCATCTATCAATCATCTATCTATATCTATCATCTACATCTATCTTCTATCATCTCTATCTATCATCTATCATCTATATCATCTATCATCTATCAATCATTTATCTATATCTATCTATCTATCTATCTATCTGTATCTATTATCTATCTATCTACCTATCTATTTATCTATCTATCACCTATCTATACCTCTCCACCTACTTAACATTTCATGCAGCAAAAATGTCTTGCTGCTAGAAATAAGCTTGAAAGGTAACCTTCTCCTAGAACTGCCATCGTAGGCATCAGATTGAGATTGCTTCCAATGCTTAGAAGACAATGCAGCTCACCTTACCCAGAGCGCTGAGCCAACGTGAGACGTGAAGCAGTGCTTTCTATGAGCACACTTTCATTTGTGTGTCATTGTGAACCTTTGTAATCATAAGTTTCTAATAACCCAAATGGATGATTTTATGATAAAAATGTCACTAGAAAGCAACACTTTGAAAGAGAACTGGAAAAATGACGCTCCACTTCTGGCAACATTGTGAAATAGGCGAAACTTTACTCCACCTAAAAGAGGTGATTGTTTTAAAATGACTTCTTTTATATATAGATGTCAGAGAGGAAGGGAGAGGGAGAGAGATGGAAGCATCAATGATGAGAGAGAATCATGGATCTGCTGCCTCCTGCATGCCCCCTACTGGGGATCGAGCCCACAACCTGGGCATGTGCCCTGACTGGGAATCGAACCCCGACCTCCTGGTTCATAGGTCAATGCTCAACCTCCAAGCCACGCTGGCCGGGCTGAAATGACGTCTTGGGGCAATCCAGCCTTGCTGAGGAGGAGGCTGATGTTTCAGAAACTCAGGAACCACCCCCTGTAACCCCCACGGGGCAGCTTGGAGCCCACACAGAGGAGGCGCCGTGCGATGCCATCCGTGGAGAAATGAATGGCCCCCGAGCCTAGACGCGCTGCTGCCAAGGTGCCGTGGAAAAGAGTACAGATGCTAACATTTGTACTAAAGAGATGCTCACATTTCCAAGCAGGAGCTACGGGCCTACAGGAAAAACTAGAGAAGCTGATCCGGGAGGAAGTTTCCTCGTCGGAGATAAACCCAAAAATCACGGGGAGAGAGAGCAGAAGATGGAAAACAGGAAGGAGGCGGGAAGGCAGGGAAATGGTCATTGTACTTAAGGGCTTTTATACAGTATTTTATTTCCTTCCCTTTTGTCCTAAAAGGGAGGGATATAAAAATAACAAAATGTACACTTTATTTCATAATGGTTACTCTGTGCATCATAAGATTTCTATTGCTTTTCCAAAAACATTCCCTAGAAATGCATTATCTTCCATTTCCATGATGATTCTATTTTGAAAGGTACTTAAGATTTAACAAATAGAATAAAGAAGTGACTATTTTGTATTAAAATAGGAGCCACCTTATATATTTAAAAAATACTTTGAACACAAATTTGAAGTCACACTTGGGGGGAAAGGCAGCCCTACAAATCTGAGCATGAGCTAGAGGGCTGGCGGGAAGCTGGCTGGGATGCGGGCCAGGTGATCAATGCAAATAAAACGGTTATGCTTATTCTGAGCTTCGGAGAACAAGAACAGAGAGAAGGAGGAGGGTCCAGAAAAAGGAAAATCTTTTCCTGGAAACTCAACGTCAAAGGCTAGTTGCAGATGGGCTCTGTGATGAGCCGTTGTGGCCCCATTCATACGTTCATTTGAAAAAAGTAACAGTAAATTGAACTACAGGCAGAAGTAGAAACTTTCAGAAATAGAACTTCTTTTCATTTTGCTAGCCAATAAAGATAATCATGAAAAGAAATAAAAGTAGTAACATCATATAATAATTTTATATTTTTCTCTTTTATTTACCGCTAGAGGCCTGGTGCATCGATTTGTGCACCAGTGGGGTCCCTCGGCCTGGCCTGCAGGGATCAGGCTGAAACCGGTTTTCCGACATCCCCCGAGGGGACCTGGATTACAAGAGGGTGCAGACCAGGCCGAGGGACCCCACCCGTGCATGAACGGGGCCGGGGAGGGCTCCAGGGCATGTCTGACCTGTCTAGCCCAGTCCCAATGGCTGAATCCCATCAGTAAGCTACCCTACCAGTTGGAGCATTTGCCCTGGTGATCAGTGTGCGGCATAGCAACTGGTTGAATGGTCGGATACTTAGCATATTAGGCTTCTATTATCTATCTCAGTGGTTTTCAACTTCCTAATGCCATGACCCTTTAATACAGTTCCTCATGTTGTGGTGACCCCCAATTTCATTGTTACAAATTGAACATAATTAAAGCATAGTGATTAATCACAAAAACAACATGTAATTATATATGTGTTTTCCGATGGTCTTAGGCGGCCCCTGTGAAAGGGTTGTTCGACCCCCAAAGGGGTCACGACCCACAGGTTGAGAACCGCTGATCTATCTATATATAAAAGCCTAAGCAACTGAACAACCGAATGACCAGTCAACTGGTTGCTATGCCGTGCACTGACCACCAGGGGGCAGATGCTCAATGCAGAAGCTGCCCCCAGGTGGTCAGTGCGCTCCCACAGCGGGAGTGCCACTCAGCTGACTGACAGACATCAGGTGCCAGGCTCACAGCTGGCAAGCGCCGCTGTGGCAGCACAAGCCCCTCCCACCTCAGTGGCAGCGCTACCGAGCGGCAGTGGAGCAGGTGCAGCAGGGCCAGGGTGAGCAGGAGTGGTGCGGCGCCCGGCATGGGTGTGGGCTCCTCCCTGGCCGCCTGCTGCTTCATGCACTACTACATCCCCATCAGCGGGTGCGAGCGGTGGCTTGCTGATGGGGATGTTGGGCTGCCGGGGATCAGGTGGAAACTGCCAGTCTGACATCCCCTGAGGGGTCCCAGATTGTGAGAGGGCACAGGCCAGGCTGAGGGACCCCACCGGTGCACAAATGCATGCACCGGGCTCCTAGTACAGGATACTACCTGATCATGTGTCTTCTGATTGTGTGTGTGTGTGTGTGTGTGTGTGTGTGTACCGTGCAATGCATTTTGCTGGATAAACTTAATAGTTCCCAAGCACTGACATACAAGGTTAAGGAATCACTTTAAAATGGAAGCTTCGATTAGCCTGTTCATCAATATTTACTAGTATAGGTTTCCTAATAACAAACTCTGCCATAAAAAATAATCTTAGAAACCTATATGTATGGTTATTTATTTATGTTTAGTTTTGGAATCTCAGCATGACCACCTAAGTGATGGAATGATTCTATATAAAGGCCTCAGGATGTTAAATATATCACCGACAAAGATTCAAAACCTCTGGCCACCTTATCACCAAAAGATGACTTGATATTTGAATATAACAACAATGATTAACCAATGGATTATTTGGTTATCAATGTAGGTTTCAAGTAAAGCAAACTCAACAGTAAACTAATAAGCAAGTATAAACATGTAAATCCTTTTTAAGTGATATATATGTAAATATGTATGATATATATAGATAAATATAAATATATATAAAATCATGGCTCACTGTTCTTTAAATTATAACGTGCTGGCATTTCATTTCTAGAGGGAGAATTCTGACTTGCAGCTCTAGATAAATAACGTGTGATATTGATTTTTCTAAGTGCAGCTTCGGTAGAAAGTGCAATGGATATATAACTCTGCGTGACACTGGTAAGTTCAGGAGGAAGCAGCACTACGTATGGTGGGGGATGCGTTATCTCGTCAGTTCCTGGGTAGCGGTCCTGGTAGGAGAACTGGCTGTCCTCTCAGCCGGGGTCTCAGCGTCACCTGCCAGGTGACCCCTGCCTCCTGTTAACCAGGAGCGCTCTGCATACGCTCCTGAGCTAAGAGACCAAGTCAGCTAATTCCCAAGCGTTTCATAATTCTCTGCAAACATTTCAGAAAGCAATGGCAGTCACAAGACTATACTAGTATTGTTACAAATATGCTGATAACATAGACAATTCTGAAATGACTCAAAACCACTAACTTTCAACACGCAATTAAAGGTATTTTCTTAAGGCAAGATCATATTTTTAAAAAATATATATTTTTATTGATTTCAGAGAGGAAGGGAGAGGGAGAGAGAGACAGAAACATCAATGATGAGAGAGAATCATGGATCAGCTGCCTCCTACAGGCCCCCCTCCTGGGGATTGAGCCCTCAACACAGGCATGTGCCCTTGACTGGAATCGAACCCGAAACCCTTCAGTCCGAAGGCTGAAGCTCTATCCACCGAGCAACACCAGCCAGGGAAAGATATCTTTTTTGACAGTTTTATTTTTCCTAAATAAAAACTTTACCAATTTATTCTAAGCTTTGAAATATCCTTGGAACAGTTCGATTAAAAGTGACTATCATAAATTATGTGAATTATACAATTCAGAAATTTGAAACAGCATAATTATACACACGTTATTTTTTCATAAATGATGGCATTGATTTTAATTTCAACTGTCATATTTGCCATTGACAAATGTCAAGAGAAAGATGTGGTATGAAGAAAACAGTTGCATCGCCCTGTGCTGTTAAATTGCATGGACCTATTTATAGAAGTTCCATGTCTGAGGGCGACGGAGCGGTGGCTGTGTGAGCTGTGCTTGTGGGCCTTCCTAAGGGAAGCGAGGAGCGTGCACAGGCCCACGCGACCCACGCCACGCGGACAGCGGCTCACCAGGCGCTGCCCTCGCTGTCCCAGCAGGCGCGTGGCCCAGTCGCTGGCCAGTTGCTGACGTCCAGTTTGAACCCAAAATCAAGTCCTAATTTTTCCAAAGAGCATGTCTGATGGTTAATGGCTCAAGAAAATAAAAGTTGTAGGTTCATAATGGGAAAATGAGTAACAAAATGCAAAACACTAAACTCTCCTTTGGTTAGTTTTATGAGTCTTTAATTCGATTCACCAATTTCCATGAACTTTGGCTGTCGTTAATGAGCCTTCCAAGCACCGTCTCACATAACCTGACGAAAGATGGGCTAATGACTATTTTAGTGAGGATGCATTTAGCCGTAGATCTACAAGATGAAAAAGAAAATGACATGGCTTTTATGTTTTCATTTACTCAAAAGTTGTTTTGATTTTTAACAAAAGTCTTCTGTATTTAATTGGCTTTAAACCACGGATTCAGTGGCTTGAGTCATTTAAAAACTAATTGGGTGCTGATGATGTGTTTCAAGGATAAAGACGCAGAGCAGTGAAAAACAAGTCCCTCTCTCACAGGGGACAGAGTGAGCCAGAGTGACACTGTGAGGCCAAAGACCTGAGAAAAGGGAAGTGACAGTATTAGGTGTTTAGGGAAGGTGGTGATGGGCCTTACTACCTGGGCAGTTAGGCTGGGAAGACTGATCTCAGAGGGGTTGGCCAGAGTGAGAGCGCAGAAAGTCATGAAAGCGATATTTAGAGAAGGTGCGTTTCCCATGAGAGCGATAAAGAGACACCTGAGGAGCCATGGACTCAAGGCGGTAAACTTTGTGTTTTTCATATTTTCACTCATTGACAGTACAGCACTGATGCGAATGCAGGCTTAAGCAATAAACCATAACCTTTAAGAAAGGAAGTATACATGTAAGCGTGTATTAGGAACTTGCCTTTTTTTAATACTCCACTTGAAAAGTTGTTTAACTTGGTTATAGGTTATTTTATAATTTACCTATTCTATATATTGTTAACTTCTACTTTGGTTATAAACAATAGGTTTATGTTTATAGATTAAATTGTTATTAGATATACTATTTTTGGATAGTTACATACAGCTATATTTTTTAAATAAAAATTACCATAAATATAAAAACAAACTTTATTATTGTACTTTTAAAACTGTGAGTTCTTCATTTCGCTACATTTTCTGCTTTATAATGACATTAAGTTATGGGAAGTAATTTGTCAGCTATAGATCCTCCAGCATTTTTACTGTGATTATCACGAAGTTTTACTCGCTCTGGCCTTTTCCCCTCTGGATTGAGACCCTGGATTCTGACTTCCTGGTACATCCGATATCCTACTTCTCATATTAACCACATGCAGTATTTATTATTCAAGGGCCTGGAGATTATTATGATAAGAGAAATGTGCCAGTCAGAGAAAGACAAACACCATAAGATCTCACATGTGGAATTTAATGAACAAAATAAAATGATGAATAAAATAGAACCAGAGGCATGGAGAGACGAGGCAGAAAGGAGACATGAAGCAGGGGTGGGGGAGGGGAGGACTGGATGAAAGGAGGTGAAGGGATTAGCCAAAGAACAACTAGTCATGGCCATGGACACAGACAGGTGTGGTGACGGCCAGAGGGAGGGAGGGTGGCGGCTGATGGAGGGGGACAGAGGGGAGTGATGGGGACATTTGTGATAGTGTCAACAATAAAAATAAACTTAAAAAAAGCATTTCAGAAAATTTTAAACATTTTCAAATTTCTCTAAAATTTTAGACAATGTTTCTGTCTTCAAACCCAATTCAGTCTTACTGTTGATAATCCTTGCCTGACATTTTAGCTGAATATAGGTTTTATGAAATGATAGCTTTATGAGCAATCATTTTTAATTCTCCTATTTCTCTACCAAAGTACTTTGGGCAACTCAAAATAGGTAGTCCTGTTTTTAAATAGTTATGCCTTTAAGTAGTCATGTCTAAGTCAAAAGTGAAAACGTACGCCGATAAATGATTGGATACATGAATTGCCCTTAAAAATAAAATTCTGTCGACTCGTCAGGAGCAAATTGTACCCTGAGAAATATAAGGCAGAAATAAAAACATCAGACCCTGTTCCTTGACTTGCTGTGTAAGTTGTGTTACCTCATAAGATATACGTATCTGTATGCTTTTCCCCTGCCGTGTTCCCAGCACTGAGAACATGCTCGGGGAGCAGCTGGGTCTCAATAAAAATGTACGAACGAATGGAGACCATGAGCAGAAGTTCCACTGCACACTGTCATCCCCGGCAGAGAGGCCGGCCTTGAGACAGGCTGTGGTGGGACACAGCAGGAAGACCGGGTAGCTCAGGTGGCTAGAGCATCATCCCATACTCTGGGTTCGATCCCCAGTCAGAGCACATACAAGCAACCAATGAATGCATAAGTAAGTGGAATAACAAGTCTCTCTCTCTCTCTCTCCTCTCTCTCTCTCTTCTCAAATAAATTTAAAAATTAAAGGAAAGAGAGAGAGAGAGAGAGAGAGAGAGAGAGAGAGAGAGAGAGAGAGGAGGATGGGATAGAAAGACCTCCATCCTCTTTGCACCTAAGCTGTGGGCCTGCCGTTGGGGAAGCAGCAGCTGCAGAGCGAGTCCCACTGGGTCTCCAGGACTGAAGACACAGTCTCCCTGGGAGAGGCATGTCCAGAGTTTAGTCTCTGATTCCAGCCTCACGGGGCCCGAGGGAGCTAGCAGCCAGGAGCACCCGGGTCCGCGTGGAATAACCCAAGTCCGTCCACGCCCCGGTGATGGACACGACCCGACACCCTGGCGCCCTCAGACACGTCTCTGGTGCACGTTCTGTACACGCTCTGCACTGTGACGCTGAGAAATGTAACTCCCAACATTTTTGCACATTTCCGGTGACGTGCGGAGAGTCGCGAGCTCGGTTTTGTTTTGTTTTGTTATTTTTTATCATTTCCTTCTTGTCTTCCAAGCCTCTGGCACAGTGATGAGCACAGAAAGGATTCAAACCATTGGTGATGGATTTTCTCATTATATTTGAAAATAGGTACCTGAAGCCCGGCCAGCAGAGCTCAGGGGCTGAGCATCAA